TTCTCATGGTGCCAGAGCATCTACTCGGAGAATTTCTGGGTGGGAATACAGTGTCGCAACACTTAGAATTGTCTATTCCCCCACCAGCCTGTCTTACGGACGGACTACTACTACTACTACCACTAATACTACTACTACTACCACCACCACTACTACTGCTACTACTACCACTACTACCGCTGTTACTACTACTACTACTACTACTACTACTACTACCACTACTACTACTACTACTACTACTACTACTACTACTACCACTGGCAGGAATACAGTGTCGCAACACTGAAGAAAACTTTTTCCCCCGTCCACTACCACTGATACGGCGAATACTACTAATAATCCTACTATTAGTACTACTACTACTACTACCACCGCCACCACGGCTGCCAATGCTACTCTACCAACGCTTACAGTATGGGTAACTAACTGCAATAATACTAGCATCAGTAACGGAGTGTTGCGACACTGGTATCCAACCAATTTCTGTGTTGACAGACGACTAAAGTGAATTTCTGCAAGGCTGCCAGCAGTCATAGGCAAGAACGCAGTGGACATGACTGGGTGCAAGAGACGGTGAACACTTGAGACTGACCTGATGACGATAATGCATCTTGACAGACTTTAGTGCTTCGGCGGCTCTTGGGCAGCCTACTCCGTTCCTCATGACAGTGCGTGAAAGAACAAGGTCAGTGGTGGAAAGACGACTGAAAATCGTACGTTTCCTCAAATGGTTTGAGTCAGAGAAACTGACCGGGTAGGATTCTTCCCTCTGCATGGACGCCTTTCTAAGCAGACGGTTTAAAAATAAAATAAGCTTCAATACCCCCAAGACATTACTACTTCAGACATATTACCACTTAACGTCGGAGAAACAGTTCGGGCTGGGTAGAAAAAAAAACACAGCAACAGAAGTCTTCAGGAAAGTGTGAATAAGGTTGATCCCTCTCACTAAAACTGTACTTCATATCAACCCGGGTGAAGCAGTCTCGGCTGCATACGGTGGATGTGCTAACTCATGAAATGCTAACTGAAATTCCTAAATGCGTGTTCGATTCGAAAAGATTAATTTAGCGGGGTTGAGATATTAATTTTTATGCAACATATTTCCAAGATATTTCAGCCATTTCGGGGTGTCGGCTTTCGAACGAACTTCTTTTCGGTCGCCTACAAACACTTCAATTTGTAAAAAAATGACTACTTAGGTAGCGAGAACCTTTCTCCCCGATTTCTGACATCCATGAAGATTCATTCTTTTGATCACTTGGTAGAAAATTGCGTCTTTTTAAAATTTTATACTTAAAGGAAGGCTGTATAACTCGGTTTTAAAAACTTTTCCCACTCCTAAATAATTTTGAACTCGACCTACCGCCTCACTTGCATTCAGGGTTTCTAAATTACAAGCTGTATATTTTCCACGTACGGAAAACCGTAGATTTCTCTACGGTATTAAGAGGAGATCGAATGGGCTGCGTAAAATTTAGCAGTGGATTCGTGCCATATTGTAAATTTTACTAACAACATTAACAAATGCAGAGACACAATGTTTTATGAACGGGCATTCCACGGTCTTAAAAAATCTCACGGTTAGAAACTTTTAAAACCGAATTATGTCCCTCCGTCAAGTATGAACTTTAAAGAAGACGGTATTGTCTACCAAATGAGAAACTTAATGAATATTTTTATGCATGTTTTCTATGAAACACATTTAAATTTATGAGGGCATCGAAAATCAAGGAGAAGAATTCGCACAATTTAAATAGTCATTATAGTGCTTGCAGGCAGCTGGAAAGAAGTTCGTTCAAAAGCCAGCATCCCAAAGTAACCGAAATGTTTCGAGCTTTTGCTGCATGGAAATTTATATTACAACTCTACTTGCGCTACCTTCTTGAGTTGAAAACGCACTTCAGAATTCCGGTCTACATTTCGTAAGTTAGCGCATCTACTGTACAATGACCAGGATTTTATACATCGTGACAAGATAGGGAACCACTCGGATCCCAGTGGGCGCGGCTTACGCCCCCCCCCCCTCTCTGTGCCCGCCAAGACAGTCCAACTGTTGGCATTTGTTATAGCCACGCATTCCCGATAACGCCTGTCGGACCCCCCATCTAGCCCCCATATGTTGGTCCAACGCATTCACCGCGTGGCCCGATTTAGGGGCAGTGTCTGCAAAAGGTACAGGTATCAGCACTATCACCTCGGTGCAGATCGAACAGCCATTGGCGACGGTTGCGTCAACAGACCTCGTGATGACGGTGTTCTCCCGAGGTTGAATAACTCAACCATCCTCACATGCCAATTCTGGCACTGAGGCTGTACACTTGCAATGCCTTTTTTCAGAGGTGTTTCAGCAGATTTCAAATACAACTGTGAAAAACTCGGTGCCTCGGCGGGATTCGAACCCACGACAGCAGGGGGGGGACTTTAATACAGCCAACGCGTCGTCCGGTGGGGTCTCGTAGCTCAGATGGTTAGAGCGTTGGCTGTACTGAAGCCTCCCCCCTGTCGTGGGTTCGAATCTCACCGAGGCACCGAGGTTTTCACAGTTGAGTCAAAGTGGATGCCTTTTTCCCCCTATTCCTTTCTGCAAACGCCCCCAATGACCGGCGAAGGTCACCCCCCATTAGTATCATTTGATCCAGTGCTAGGACCTCCTTGCACGGATGTCAGCTAACCAAGGGTGTGTGAAGTTGTTTCTAGGCTATTCGCAGTCATCAGTGCGTCCGGAACCTTTCCGAAACTGGAAGTCGATGAAGAAGGCCATTCTGTCTGCCTGCCATTTTTTCACCAGATCCCCTCCCCTCTAAGTCGTCTTGTCTGTGCGGATCGGCCTTGACATTTTGTGTGAAAAATCCCTTCTAGGAAGAGACAGCTCCTTCTCCGGAGGGAGTACCATCATCATCATCATCATCATCATCATCATCATCATCATCATCATCATCATCATCATCATCATCATCATCATCATCATCATCATCATCATCATCATCATCATCATCATCATCATCACCATCACCATCACCATCACCATCACCATCACCATCATCATCATCATCATCATCATCATCATCATCATCATCATCATCATCATCATCATCATCATCATCATCATCATCATGCAAGCAGCGAGGAACGGTGGACAGAAGGGTCGCCTGGCACGTCGCTAAGGCAAACCACAAAGAGTCTCCATATGTCTCTTTCTCCAACCAGTGGTGTACTGGGAAAAACAGCCGAAAGAACTACTATGCCTGTCGCCAGTGGTCCCAGAAACGCAGAAATTATGTGGATTTACCGCATAACCTGTCTGCCATTTTAAATTCCAACCTCTCGGCCTGCGGAAAGATTAGAAAATATAGACTTTAGACCAGCCTTTAGGACCATCCTCAGGAATCACGTTTCCGGGTTGCGTCGTCTGCTTTTGAGAGGTTCAATTAGAGGAAAGAAGACGTACTAACTGATAAATCTGAGTTTTATCTTCTTAAAAAAATCGACAGACTACTTGCGCACTTCTGTACAAGTTTGTTCAAACACCGAGGTTAGTGGAGCGCTGTCCAGAACTCCTTGGCTATGCCTGGATGGCTGCCAGGTCGGTCCAGAGGCGGATGACCGGATGCTGCGCCCAGTGGAGGGCTGCTGAGCAGTTCATTCTCCTCCGCCGAACTCGAGTTGGTTGAATTTGCCGCCACAGCCGTCAGTCCACCCTCACTGGCAGGGGGAGTCTTCTCGCAGTCCGCGGGACTATGGCTGCCGCAGGCCGAAAGTCGGTGCTTCGTCAGCAGACCCATGCGTGAAAAGGTCTTGCCGCACTCCTCGCACCGGTACTTCTTCTCCTCAGAGTGCGTCTGCATATGCGCGCGCAGATTTGATCGGTCCGCGAAAGCCCGCTGGCAGACCCGGCAGGCGAAGGGTTTCTCGCCCGTGTGTGTTCGCAGGTGTCCATTGAGCAGCCACATACGCGAAAAGGCCTTGCCGCAGACGGTACATTTGCAGGGCAGGGTATGCGTCCGAATGTGCATCTTCAGAGCGGACATGGAGAAGTAGACTTTGGAACAGATGTGGCAGGTGTACTGTCGATCGGCGACACGTGGTGAGGACGAGGAGGGGGATGCTGCGAGATCACCCTCAGTCGTGATCGCCACTGACTCCTCTAACTCCTCCCTCTCCGGCTGCCCCAGCTCGCACTTCTGGTGGGAACTTCCGCTGTAGGTCATGTCAAGTGGACAGTTACCACTGCTGTCCTTCCGCATCCTGCTCCTCCTCCTCCTCTCATTCTGGCGGGAACAGTGTTCCTGATGACGTAGGAGACCTAACCTGGTTGCATAACTGCGGCCACAGAGGGCGCACTTAAAAAAGTGAGCGCCGGTCGACCGGTCTGGCAGTGTCGCCTGACCAGTGGCGGGGACGACCTCCTCCACGGACCTCGGCGGTGACGAATAGCCCAGAAGGTGGGGAATGCTGAATTTCTCACAGCTTGACACCTTCAGGGATGTCTGCTCTTTTGGCGAGTTAGACGGCAGAAGCGGGGCTGTAGGCAGGAGGGTGGAAGTCGGGGGTGAAAAGTCCCCAACGGCTGCATCAGCCAGAGTGAGCGACAGAGGGAACCACTGAGAACAGTCGAACGTCGGCTCTCCGCTAGCGTTGCGGAAGTTGGCTGTGGGTGTTGCGCCTTGGCTGTTGGCGTCGACTGTTGGGCTGCCAAATCCCGGTATGAGGGGTGCAGACGCCATCACCGACGGGTTAGGATCCACCATGCTGCCAAAACCTGTATGAACGAGAACACAGTGGTGAGGAATTATGGTGAGTCCATTTGGTCCATGTCGCTGACGTAGCAGAGGGGGAGAGGGAAGGAGTAAAAATAAGCAGTAGTAGAAAGTGATGGCTGTAGAGCCCCCCCCCCCCCTTGCGGCTGACTCTGTAGACTGTTCTTCACGCTTACTTCTACCTGACAGCTCACTTCATCTACATCAGTATCAACCTCTTTTGCTGCCGGTAGCCTTGGATAGTTTGTTGCCCTATAAACAAAAAGCATATACACGCTATTGCTAGCGCTGTCATAGCTCTCCGACCTTGTCCGGAAATGCGGTTTAACCATCCTTCTGTTGCTGGACGGGACTGGAGCGAGTCATGGCCAACTCTCGGCCCTTCAAACAGTGGTTTCTACATTCCTGAACGAGTTGAACCACTAAGCGTTAGTGCTACCGTATTACCGGCCTTGATTCTCTCATCCTTATTTTAAGCTTATTCACTGAAGCGCAGTTGCGTGGAAATGTCAAAAGAGGGCGCTACTATGTACAAGTACATGGCGACCGCATTTATAATGCCTAAGGATGCCGGACAGAGTGCTAGTGGACACAACTTTTGATCGCACATTAACAGACTTGAAGGCGCTTCGGTGTACCTAGGAATTCGACTTACGTCGGTAGTAATAGTAGTGGTGGTTGTGGCATTGCAGTTATTATTATTATTGTTAGTAGTAGTAGTAGTAGTAGTAGTAGTAGTAGTAGTAGTAGTAGTAGTAGTAGTAGTAGTAGCCGTAGTAGTAGTAGTAGTAGTAGTAGTAGTAGTAGTAGTAGTAGTAGTAGTAGTAGTAGTAGTAGTAGTAGTAGTAGTAGTAGTAGTAGCAGTAGTAGTAGTAGTAGTAGTAGTAGTAGTAGTAGTAGTAGGAGTAGTAGTAGTAGTAGTAGTAGTAGTAGTAGTAGTAGTAGTAGTAGTAGTAGTAGTAGTAGTAGTAGTAGTAGTAGTAGTAATAATAGTAGTGGGCTGTGGGCTTTCGAAGTGCTCGAAGTCGCCGTAACAGTCGGAAGGGTAGCGCGCTGAATAAAATACGAATCTGAAACCCAGTTGTTAATGTTGATGCTAAGAACCAGTAACAGTAAGCGACCTATTTGGTTGTCCTCTCCGAAGTCTCCGGCAAAACTGCGCTTTTCGCCTTTCCTGTGCTGGAGACTACCAAGAAAAATACGTCCCAAGCTCCTTCTACCATGACACCTTGCATAGCGTTTAGTCATTTGGGCGCATATTACGCCCAACAATCAACCTGAACCCCTAGAAATGGCATGAACCAAGATAGCCGTGGTTGGTGACACACTTGTTTTCTCGTTTCCATGTTCTTAGGTTTAAACATCCCAATCTGGGGATTATCCAGACTGAGGACGAATACTTGACATCTTCCATGAATACCGTGTATGCGGGTACCTGCTTCTGACCGCCATGAATCACCGTGATTCGCACAGGTAGGAATGCCGATGACATTTGTGAGACTGCCTCGGAGAGATCCACTTGGGGGGTCCCTTCGAGCTGCCTGAATCTTCCCCGGACGGTGCCCCGAAACCGGTGGATCCATTGGTGTGGCGTGACATCACACGGCAGCGGCGGCGGGCGTGAAGTTACGCGTTTCTTCAGCTGCTCCGCTTCCAGACCTCCTCCCCCTCCCTCTCCCCTCACCACGCGGCATCGTACAGGCTCCTAAATCTGGCCGGGTCGTGGGAACGGTCCGCGGAACACACACTCTAAGCCCAGGTGACAAGTGCCAGGGCCGGTAGCGAGACCTTTCATGAACCTGTTGTTCGCAGGACGCCTGTCCTGTGTGGGACTTCGAAGCAAGCTGGATTCTGGGCCACGGAATCCACGCCCTCCCCCGCCCCCCGCCCCGTGCATCGCTCCCACCTGGGGCAAATCTGTTCTCGACGGCAGCAAATTCGACATTGAAATGACCCATAATGTACACGCACTCACACACACACGCGTACTGTGTCCTCGCAGTACACGCAGGTCCACCAGCCGCCAGAGAACTGCTTGTTGGCCAGATCAGTCGTATTAATCACTCCCCACTGCAGCAGTGCTACTAATCATGCACTGATC